TGACGTCTTCCCCTCCTCCCTCGCGGCAGCGAGTAGGCAGCGAGTAGAGAGGGTGGAGGGGCCTCGGTGACAGGCGAGCGCAGTGGCGCGCGCCCAACGTCTTCCCCTCCCCCTCGGGAGTACCTATACGCTAGACGAGCGAAGGGCGGTGGCTAGTGCGCGGGCGAGGGGAGGGGGCGGGGCGGGGCGGGGCGGGGCGGGGCGGGCGGGCGGGCGGGCGGGGAGGAGGGCAGGGGAGGGAAGGCTTGGCTATCAGCTGCTGTCGAGCCGCAGACTGCCGCTGTTGTTAGCGCCGCGATCCGCCGCCGCGCCGCCGCGCCGCCGCCGCCTGCGCCGCCTGCGCTCGCCGCCGCCTCGCAGACGACACCTCTCGCGCTCGAAGAGCCGCGCAGCGGGCCGCGAGGTGGAGGTCAGAGAGCCGCAAAGTGGCGAGGTCATGAAATCATGAAATTTTGAACTTGCCCGAGACAGCCCGGAAACGGTCCCGAGCCGTAGCCCCGGTGCTGGCGCATCACGCCTCGGCCGCGATGGGCCGGTTCCGCCGCGCAGTCGAGCAGCAGGGGCTCTGGCACAAGTTTGTCGACAAACTGGTCGAGCAAAATTTCGGCGAAGAAGCGGCACCGCGCAAGAAATAACAGCTGCGCTGAGCGGAGCTGGGAATAGGATTATTGGGCTCAACCCGGTTTGCCTCTCGCACCCCGTCTGTTTTCCTTTCCTTTTTTCTCTACAACACCCTCTCTTTCCTCTCTATTTCCCCGGGAAAACTGCGTGGAAATCGTCAAATTTTTGGCTCTGAGCCGAGTCTGAGGCTGGTTTGGGGCCCCAAATCAGCCAAATTTTAGGCCAAATCGGCAAAATGCCGGGAATTTCAGAACCCGTGTATACCTGGAAATTACCCTGCGACCGCCTGGGTATTTTGTCGATTTCCTCAATTTTGCCTCAGATTTTGAGAGTTGTGTTTGTGTTGCAGATTTTGCCCCAGACCAGCTCTCAGACTCAGGGAAACTCGCGAGTTTCCAGAATGGAGGGCACCAAACACCCTCTGTTTTCCCTGGAAATTTCCGGAAACGCAAAGTGCTGGGAACCCTCTGTTTTCCTTTTTGTTTTCCGGAAAACTGGGTTGAGCCCAAAATAGGAATCCTAGGACCGCCGCAAGCGGCGTGGCGTGGAGCGGTTGAGCATCCCTCCGGGGGCCCCTCTGCGCCGGGGAGGCGTTGTTGGAGGCTAGGACGCAAGCGTCCGTCGCCCTTTTCAAACTCGGGGCCCACTCCGCTACGCTCCGACCCGAAAGCCGAATTTGGTTTTGGAGGGCCTAAAAGTTTAAGGTGTTGCTGCGCAGAAGGGGTCGGACACAGGGCGCAGCTCATGCTAAGAGCTAGAAGGGGAGATAGAGAGAACAACCACCCCTGTCTCGTTATTGCGCACACCAACACCGTCACACCAAAAAGCTCTGTCCTCCGATCAAAATCGGCTCCTCACTCAGGCTCTCAGGGGGGTCACTCAAGGCACAAGGGGGTCACAAGTACTCGAGTACCGAGTCCCTGTCTAGCTGCCACGTTCAAAAAGTCAGGACGCACGGCGGCAGTGATGGTGCTATTCGATCCACGGACGGGCATGATCAAGTGGAAAGTGAGAGA